ATCAAGACCTTCAAGATGATCAAGATCTTCAGAATCATCAAAGATCTTCAAGATGATCAAGATCTTCAGGATCATCAAAGATCTTCAAGATGATCAAGATCTTCAGGATCATCAAGACCTTCAAGATGATCAAGACCTTCAGGATCATCAAGACCTTCAAGATGATCAAGATCTTCAGAATCATCAAAGATCTTCAAAATGATCAAGTTCTTCAGGATCATCAAAGATCTTCAAGATGATCAAGATCTTCAGGATCATCAAGACCTTCAAGATGATCAAGATCTTCAGGATCATCAAAGATCTTCAAGATGATCAAGACCTTCAAAATGATCAAGATCTTCAGGATCATCAAAGATCTTCAAGATGATCAAGACCTTCAGGATCATCAAGACCTTCAAGATGATCAAGATCTTCAGGATCATCAAGACCTTCAAGATGATCAAGATCTTCAGGATCATCAAGACCTTCAAGAGAGCTAATTAACAGCCAAGTAATTAACACTAAGGAACTCCGTGTTTTTCTCCTCCCAGGATGTGTTTTGTAGGATCATGGGATCCTTAAGGTTGGAAGATCTTCAAGAACATCAAGACCTTCAAGATGCCATAATAAGCTCTAATGAACTCCATACTTTTCCCCTCCCAGGATGTGTTTTGTAGGATCATGGGATCCTTAAGGTTGGAAAATTCCTGAGTTTTCCTCGAACTCCTTGATTTATTCCTGTCTGAGAGTAGGGAATTCATTAAAAGTGCAGTATTGACCCCAAAAGTGCCCTCCAGCTGGGAATATCGACTCCCTGGCTGTCCATCCCGCTGCCCCAACATTTCCGAGGGGTCTGCCAAGGAATTATTCCTCAGGGTGGAAATTGGGGGGGATGGGATACTGGAAACTGCCAAAATGGGTGGGAAAGAAGAAAAACCACCAATACCCAGCGCTGTGCTGAGGTATGAAAGAGTTAATAAAAAAATTTACAACCTGAGTGTTAGGGAGGAAACCACCAAAAATAGCACAAATTTAACACCCACTTCAATAAATCAAAGTTTTCCATGAGTTTTCCTGGGATTGGGAGTGGAATTAACAGCCAGTTGCCAAAAACTGATGTAAGAAAGGCTCGAATTAGGTCAACCATTACAAAATTGATTTAATAACAAAACCCAAAATACTTGTACACTTGTGAGCGGCGTCTTGGATGAGGGAATGGAGCTGGTGGGTCGGGATTTGGGGTTTTCCAGGGATTTATACTCGTTCCAAAGCTTCCAGCATGATGATGCTGTTCCCTCGGATCACCTGGAAAGGGGGAAGGTGAAAGCTGTTACCTCTGATCTAAGGATTCCTTTCTTGCAGTTTTAATTCCCCAAAAATCCTTGAAAATTCGGCTGGAATTCCCCAAAAAGGATGAAAACTGACTGATTTTAACCCTAAATCCCCAAGGATCACAGAATCCCTGAGGGTGGAAAAGACCTCTGGGATCATTGAGTGCAACCCTGTCCCCAGCGCAGAGCTCTGAGTGCCACCTCCAGGAGTTCCTGGGACACCTCCAGGGATGGGGATCCGAACCTCCCTGGGCAGTTCCAAGTTCCTTTTCCATGGGGAAATTCCTGCTGCTGTCCACCCTGAGCTCCCCTGGCCCAGCCTGAGGCTGTTCCCTCTCCTCCTGTCCCTGTTCCCTGGGATAAGATCCCAAATCCCCCTGGCTGTCCTCTCCTGGCAGCGAGCTGTGCAGGGCCACAAGGGCTTCCTGGAGCTGATGCCTGGCCCTGTTCCCACCAGTCCTTGGGTCCATCCATCCGTCCATCCATCCATCCATCCATCATCCATCCATCCATCATCATCCATCATCATCCATCCATCATCCATCCTCCATCCATCATCCATCCTCCATCCATCCATCATCCATCCATCCATCATCCTTTATCCATCCATCATCATCCATCGATCTATCATCCATCCTTTATCCATCCATCATCCATCCATCCATCATCCATCCATCCATCCACCATCATCCATCATCATCCATCATCCATCATCCATCCATCCATCATCCATCCATCCATCATCCATCCTTTATCCATCCATCCATCATCCATCCATCCATCATCCATCATCCATCCATGCATCATCCATCCATCCATCATCCATCATCCATCCTTTATCCATCCATCCATGAATTCCATCTATCATCCATCCATCCATGCATCATCCATCCATCCAGGTGTTTCCAGCCATGACTTCACCTCTCAGAAGCAGAAGCACTCAAAGCTCTGCTGAATTCCCACCTGACAGTCCCAAAGCTGTCCCTCACCAAACTTCCCACTCATTCTGCACTTGTGGCTCCCAGTGGTGCTCCCAGTGGTGCTCCCAGTGTGTTCCCAGTGCTCCCAGCGTGTTCCCAGTGCTCCCGGTGCTGCTCCCAGTGCTCCCAGTGGCACTCCTCAGTGTACTCCCAGTAGCACTCCCAGTATGTTCCCAGTGCTCCCAGTGGCCCTCCCCATTGTGTTCCCAGTGTGCTCCCAGTGGCACTCCTTAGTGTGATCCCAGTGCTCCCAGCATGTTCCCAGTGCTCCAAGTGGCACTCCCAGTGTGTTCCCAGTGCTCCCAGCGTGTTCCCAGTGGTGCTCCCAGCATGCTCCCAGTAGCTCTCACCACCATGCCGATGTTGTTCTGCTGCCCGCCTGGTGCCATCTCCACGCACTCGTCGATGACCAGGTTCATGAATGGGTCGAAGCCCCGCAGGATGCCCTGCACGTGCCGGCCGCCGTTCAGCTTCACTGCGGGAACCCGGCGCGTTAGGGACCGACAATCCCAAAACGGGAGTGTTTGTCCCCAAATCTGCGGCTCGGGAGGAGCGGGACCCGCGGGAGGCGGGGAATGGGAAGGATTAAGCACAAGCCGTTAATGGGGTGAGGAAAAGGGGAAAAGAGCGAATTTTCAATTTGTGTTATAGTTAAATTAATGAATTGTGGTTTAAATTAATTAATTAGAATTTTAATTAACGAGCTGTGTGGCCTGAAATCAGTCAGAGCAGGGCCTGCTGCTGGTCTGAGCACCAGCCCCAGCAGCTGGGAACCCCCAAACCGGCCAGGGGGCTTTAGGAGTCCCCCATAGTCGGGGACACGAGGGTCCCCAAACCCGGCATTCTTGGGGGGCGCGGGGCAGATCCCCAACAGCGGGGGACACGAGAGAGAACTGGGCTGTGGAGGGTCCCCAAACCAGGCATTGATGGGGGGCATGGGACGGGTCCCCAACAGCAGGGTCATGAGGGGATCGGGGCTGTGGAGGGTCCCCAATCCGGCACTGTTGGGGGGCTCAGGAGTCCCCCATAACGGGGGACACAAGGGGGAACCGGGCTGTGGGGGGTCCCCAAACCACGCATTGATGGGGGGGCACAGGGCAGGTCCCCCATAGCAGGGGACACAAAGCTGTGGAGGGTCCCCAAACCCAGCATTGTTGGGGGGCACGAGGCAGGTCCCCAAAAGCGGGGTCGTGAGGGGATCGGGGCTGTGGGGGGTCCCCAAATCCGGCATTGTTGAGGGACGCGGGGCAGGTCCCCAACAGCGGGGAACACGAGGGGGAACCGAGCTGAGGGGGGTCCCGAAACCGGATATTGTTGGGGGCGCGGGGAAGGTCTCCCATAGCGGGGTCGTGAGGGGATCGGGGCTGTGGGGGGTCCCCAAACCCGGCATTGATGGGGGGCGTCGGGCAGGTCCCCACAGCGGGGTCGTGAGGGGATCGGGGCTGTGGGGTCCCCGGGCACCGCGAGGGGGATCGGGGCGAGATCAGTTCCACAACTCACACGACAGCTTCTTGTCCATGAACCTGTAACGAGAAGGCACCGGGTCAGCACCGGCGGGTGGGGACGGGCAGGAGACCCCTCCCCATTATCCCCTCATGACACCGGGCCGAACCGCGCCTCCCCCGCCGCCATGACGGCCTCACGGTGCACGCCGGGACACCGACAAGCGGCGGACCGCGTCGTTCTGGTCCCCACTTGTGTCACACCCTCCCCGTCTCCCCTCGCCCCCCGGCCCAGCCCCGGCGCCCCCAGACCCACTTTTTCAGCTCGGGTGGGTGCGCTTTACTCATGGCGCTCTAAGCCCCCGGCCCGTCTCTGCCGCGCGCCGCACTTTGACGTCAGCGCGCCGTGCGTCTGCCAGCGCCAGCCAATGGCAGCCGTGCGCGCCTCCCCGCGCGCCGCCCCGGCAGCCAATGGCGGCCCGCGGAGCGCTACCGCATTCACCCGAGCAGCGGCGCATGCGCGGGGAGGTGGCGGGGAGCGGGGGGGAACGCAGGGAGCGGTGCGCGGATACAGCGGGAAATACGGCGGGAAATAAATAGGGCGGGAAATAAATAGGGCGGGAAATAAATAGGGCGGGAAATAAATAGGGCGGGAAATACGGCGGGAATGGCCGCCAGTGGGCGGGCCGAGTGCGTGTGTGTGTCCAGGTGTGCACACCTGTGTGTGTGTGTGTGTGCGCACCTCTGTGTGTGTATCCAGGTGTGCACACCTGTGTGAGTGTGTGTGTGCACACCGGTGTGTGTATCCAGGTGCACACACCTGTGAGTGTGTGTGTGCACACCTGTGTGTGTATCCAGGTGCACACACCTGTGTGTGTATGTGCGCACACCTCTGTGTGTGTATCCAGGTGTGCACACCTGTGTGTGTATCCAGGTGTGCACACCTGTGTGTGTATCCAGGTGTGCACACCTGCGTGAGTGTGTGTGTGCACACCTGTGTGTGTGTATCCAGGTGTGCACACCTGCGTGAGTGTGTGTGCACACCTGTGTGTGTGTGTGCACACTTGTGTGTGTGTGCACACCTGTGTGTGTGTGTGCACACCTGTGTGTTTGTGTGTGCACACCTGTGTGTGTCTGTGTGTGCACACCTGTGTGTGTGTGCGCACACCTGTGTGTGTGTGTGCACACCTGTGTGTTTGTGTGTGCACACCTGTGTGTGTGTGTGTGTGCACACCTGTGTGTGTGCACACCTGTGTGTGTGTGCGTGTGCACACCTGTGTGTGTGTGTGTGTGCACACCTGTGTGTGTGTGTGTGTGTGCACACCTGTGTGTTTGTGTGTGCACACCTGTGTGTGTCTGTGTGTGCACACCTGTGTGTGTGTGTGCACACCTCTGTGTGTGTGTGCACACCTGTGTGTGTGCGTGCACCTGTGTGTGTGCGTGTGCACACCTGTGTGTGTGTGTCCACGTGTGCACACCTGTGTCTGAGTGTGTCCAGGTGTGCATGGCCCAGGGTCACCCCAGGCCAGCGCGGGGCTCACCCCACACCTGCACACCTGGGATCACACCTGTCCCCTGCACAGCGCACACCCGGCTCACCCCACACCTGCACACCTGGGGGTCACACCTGTCCCCTGCACAGCGCACACCTGGCTCACCCCACACCTGCACACCTGGGGGTCACACCTGTCCCTTACACGCGCACCCTGGGCACAGCCCAAACCTCGCGCAGCACACACCTGGCCCACGTCACACCTGGCACACCCCACACCTGCACCCGCACTGTGCCCAACCATCGCCCCCAGTGCCCCCCGTTACCTGCAGTGTCCCCTCATCGCTCACCCCATCACCCCCAGTGCCCCACATCACCCCCAGTGCCCCACATCCCCCCCAGTGCC